TGGCCATGCAGTCAAGCACCTTTACAGTACACCGTTTCAACATGTCAGTTCACGTGTGAAATACGATTTTGCAGGGCCGAAGACAGAGAGCCGGGCATCCCAGTGCCAGCGCATTTGGTGCGAAATGGAGACATTCGCCAGCATCCCTGTATGGTCTCGTTCGCTGGAACAGTTGGTGCAGGATTCCTTGGCCTTGAATAAACACTTGGCCTTGTTCACTGACTGCACTGGCCTTGATGCTCCGGGGCGGGCCCTGCAGCTTTGCAAATGGGCATCGTGTGCTCACTGGAGCGGCAGTGAAGCCAGTGTGCGTGTCCGTGCTCTGCTGGAGGCTAGTGGCCCGTTGCAGGTGAGCCAGGACATGTGCGAACACGATTTCAGCGAAAGAGTAAAATTGGTGAGATCTCAACGGACAAGCGGCTTGAGCATCTATGTGGCAGGCACTCCATGTCAAGGCTTCTCTCTGAGAAACACTAAACGCAAACAGTGGGGCGATCCCAGATCCAAATTGCTCGGCGACGCGTTGGACAAGGCTCGAGTTTCAGGCGTGGACGCTGCTTTGCTGGAGAACTCCCACATGGTGCTGTATGATCTGTGGCCTGGCCACACCATTCGAGTTCATGTGAAGCTTTGTGCTGGAATTTCGTAAGGTTGCCCTATTCTGCAAAACATGTTCGTCTGAGGTCTGGTGTCCAAGTTCAACTAGACATGCTGGAAGAAGCTGGATACCATGTAGTGGTCAGACATGTGGACCCAAGAATGCTCGGATTTCCCTGTATGCGGAAGCGCACGTACCTGGGCATATTCCGAAGGAAGCAGCACTAAGCATTTGCAGATGGGCATGGCAAGTCTGGCAGGCTCTTTCATTACTCAGGTTCTTCTTCATTCTGAAGAAGTCTCTCACCCGTGAGAATGTGGCCGCTGGACTGGAAGAATTCTTCAATCGCTTCAAGCTCATGCTGCCCCGACAGCATCTGGACGATGTGCTGTCAGCAGCTGTGGAAGTGATTGGTTCCTCGCCGCCGCGAAGGATCTGGCATGTCTGCCACCTTGTGTGTGCAACTGCTCCCATGTCTGTGTGTTCTAGGGCCCTATCAACTCACCAAAAGGCCGCAGAAATCGGAGGTCCGAAGAACTGTCTTTGTTCGGTTGGCATTAAATGTGGATTGTATGAACAAAAAAAGCTTCCATGTCCATGTCTGTGTAGGACTTCGGCGGTGTTGCCACCATGCTGTTGCCTTTCACTTCCGCCTCGCAGATGCCCAGAACACCCCTGCAAATGCAAGCGCTGCCGTGTTGGCGGGCAAGGAATTGCAGAGTCTTGCCTGCTTGGAGTTGGTTCTTTTGGAAAGGAATTTCAACTTGCAGCACTGAGTAAGCGACACCTGCCGTTTCAGTACATCCGAGGACTCTTGTGCCTGGGTAACATCGTCTGTTGCCTGGGCCCAGACACATGGCTGTACACAACAACATCTGGATGACTTGCCGCCCGAAGGGCTGGAGATTGTGAGCCTGTTCCAGTCCCCGCGCCAGCGCTTGATGATGGGACTTTTGTGTGCAGTGCACGGCCGAACTTTCCTACAGCATGGGTTGGTGGACACCTCCCAGAGTATCCAAATGTGCCAGGTGCAGCTGCATGCCGACTCTGGCTGCAAGAGCATTTCGACCACAAGTGCCATCTTTCACTGTGGCAAGAAGATGTTCCTCGGCCCTGGACATATGGCTGCCGTGCTCGGATTCCCGCCCGAGATGGTGAAGGCGCTGCACAAGATGGGTCAGTGCAACCTCAGCCTGGCCTGCAGTCTGGTCGGCAACAGCATGCACGTGCCGACCCTTGCTTGCTCTTTGTGGGCGCTGCTCTCGTCGATCACTGAGGACAGCCACTAGAACCTTGTGCTGGCTGCGGATTTTCACCCGCTTTTCTGGGGTTCGTTAGCCGAGACCACAACCTTCCCAGTAGCACATGTTCTATGCCAAGCAGTTCCCGGCACAGTCGAGAGTGTTGACGTGTGCTTCTTTTGGAGGTTGTGATCGTGGCCCGGGGTTACATGGCTAGGACTTGGACAACTCTGCAGCGCAGATGGGGAAAAAGATTGCAGGCTCTCAATATAGAGGATAGAACCACGCGCTGCCAGAGCATCCTTGCATTTGTGACACTGTCGCGGTCTATGAGGCACTTGTGCAGAACGGCCGCGACACCTTGGGCAGCTTGCAGTCGTGCACTCAGATGTGCCAAACACTTCTATATCCTGGCGTCTTAGCTGTGTGACTTTGTGCGCCACTAGACAGACTTGGAAGCGTGGTTGCAAACAGCGCTTCTGCTGAACAGGTCCTTGCACCAGGTGCTCCTTGTTCCAAAACGACAGCCATGAGCCACTCGGAAAATCTCGTCAGACAGACTTGGAACCGTGGTTGCAAACGCCGTTTGCAACCACTCTTCGGCCGGAAAGCCACTCCTACTGGGCACCTCGGAGCATCTAGGACAAGGAGATCGGTCGCTTTACAGCTTTGCAGGACAAAGAACAAGGCGGAGAGTGGTTGCAAACGGCGTTTGCAACCACGGTTCCAAGTCTGTCTGACGAGATTTTCCGAGTGGCTCATGGCTGTCGTTTTTGGACAAGATTTGTGCTCGTTTTTGGACCTCTTCAGCAGAAG